TATGACCTATATTGGATAGCATGTCTGGCCTTCTGACCGCTCGCTTCCTGCTGCGTCTACGCTCATGGGAACAACGGACGAGGGAGGCGACAGATGAAATTTCCACCGAAATGTGCTTCGACTCCAACCCTGGTGCTCAGCACGGCGTCAACAGCGAAGCCTATGGTACCGAATCTGGTCTCAGTCAACGCAACGCAAAATCTCGTGGTGTTAGAAGTGGAGTGTCTAGGTTTGGCGGAAACGTTGGGCCTGCACTCGACCCGAACGATACGAGGCTGAGGTCGACGGTGCCCATGGACGATCACCCTTCAGCACCATTGGAAAAGATTTCGGACAACGAGACGAAGGTGTGATGATGGGTGTGCATCGCGGTGAAGGAATCAATGGGACATGACGATCGTTTTTGGGTTTAGGATCAGGAAAGGTTTCGAGGAGGAATGGATTAATAGACTTATCAGACTCAATCTCAAGTTGACGACATTCTGACGGAAGCACATCGCATGCGACAATGAGACGAAGAATTGAGGTATATTACAACTAAAGACACAAAGTATGAAATTGAAGTTCTTTCGACAGCTCCTGAGCAGCCATTTAGGGGACACATTGGCCTGGGAAAGAGCGTCATCAGATGGGGAATTCGCAACGATGGGAGAAGGTAAAGCTTACTGTAGTACTCGTTGGTGGCCTTGCAGGTACCAGACGAGCAAGAGGTGGGTCCAGACCAACCAATGCCTCCACACTGACCGTACAGAGGAGCACCACCGCTTGAGGGTGGTTGAGTAGGGGTGCTGCCGCCCTGGGTGGTGGTCGCGGGGGGTTGTTGGGGGTTGTTGCCAGAGCACTGGAAGGGGCTGGGTCCAGGGATGGTGTATGGGCGACCGCCGTTGTTGGGAACCGTGCCAGAGTAGATGTTGAGGGTGATACCACTGTGAAAGATGTTAGTCTGTCGTTAACTGCTACGTTGCGAGATTTGAACTTACGGGTCGCTGGAAGAGTAAGCACCAGGGAAGCTGACAGTGCTGCCAGAGGTCGAAGATCCACCTCCGGTGACGTTGATTTGAGCACAACCAACCTAGACGGGGAGATGAGTCTTCTCGGTTTCACGTATAAATTCTGGAGACAAGCAGGACGTACGTAGACTTGGGCACCACCAGCACTATAGGCAGAGTGCAGAGCAATGAGCTCAGCGCGCAAGAGGTAGTGACCAGAAGCGAGGCAGGTAGGCATGGTGAAGTAATGCCACCCTCCTTGCTGGATCATAGTGTCGACACCCCAAGTGCCGCCATTCAAGCCCTCGTGTTGGACCTTGAACCACCGAAGGCCTGAAGTCCCAGTCGTTGCGGCGTTGTCGACCTTGGCCATGTAGAACATGGTCGGGCCTATAGGTAGGCGTTACAACTTAAATTCAGCGCGAGGTGGAGGAAACATACCCTTGTGACTGGACGCGATGGGATGGTCGGGGTCGTTTTGGCCTTGAGGACCTCCGATAATGTGACCCCACCAAGCACCAACACGAGCGCCAGCGGGAACGTTGATGACAGTGCTATCTTTGTACTGGAGATTGTTGTTGCAGGCCATTCCGCCATCGTTCATGTTGGTGATGGGCTATATCCCTCTGTCAGTCGAAGGAAGGGCCAAGCAGAAGGATGGCTACATACGTTGTTGTTGTTCGGCGCACGAACACCCTTGAGCTGACCTTGATCCTGGCCATTGACGGATACTTTCTGAAGGAGACGTTAGTCGTTGTGAGTCTTGGCGCTGAACTTGAACTCGCGACATACCTGGAAGATAGTGTGGCCGTAGGCGACAGATGCGAACGCAAGGAAGGTCAAGGCTGACGAGAACTTCATCTTGCCTGAAAGCGACTGAGGAGCGTCGAATGCGGAACCTTGGAGTTCGAGCGAGGCATTTTTATAGAAAAAGGGTTGTCAAGAGGGCGGAATAACTAACTTGAGGCGTCGAAAGCAAACTCAATTCACGTCTACTTTGATTCCGGCATGACTACACGGTAGCTGTACCCCAGGACAACCTAAGGCGGCTAAGCTGGGGTAGAAACCGAGGAAGGTACTGGAACTAGGGAAGGATCAATGTCGCTGCAAAGAACCACTGATAGCCACATGGAGAAGTCTCCACATCAGGGTCTGTTCGTTGAAAAGTAGCTGTAGGTGGTTTCCTCGATTGGGGGCTGGCGAGCTGGCCGTTACTTTCTGCTCCTGACCCTGGGATAAAGAGTAGACGTAAGTAACACAAGATAAGCCGTACCTGAGAAGGAAAGGACCTCTGGGAGGAGGAAAAGGCTCACACGTGCTAGAGGCATTAGTGCGACCTTTATCCCGCTTCCGAGGCAATGGCGAGGTATGTCCAACGTCGGTTCTGGCATGATGACATCCTAAACAGAGGAACCGAGACATATTGGCTCTTCGTAGATGTAGATCAAGGCCACACACTGGTTGTGAGAACGCTCGTCAAGCCAACGTTCCAATGTCGTTAGGGCATCGCGCTCCCTGAATGAAAAGGGTAAAGGTGGCTCACCAGTGGAAACATCGGAAGCAACGGCAATCGAAGTTCAGAATACAGCAATGTCGGCTGACGGATGCCAGTCAATGACATTCGGAAGCGATATAGTCAGCATTTTGCGTCAGGGCTGCCTCCTCAAAGCTTCGAATATAGAGAGGATGACGCTGGGGTTGTACCGGGCGGTGAGCCAGATGCCTCTCCCGCGGCACGGATGACGCACTGATTGAGCGAAACGTTGAGCATAGAGATTTCTCGAATCTGTTTAATCTCTGGCCAGTATGATGCAGATCAATACATTCCTAGATCGAAGAAGACGGAAAACTCACTGATATTGTAAACTTGACCCCTACCCCTGGTGATTCCAGATCCACAAGAAATGATTGCCCCTCGGCTGCTGCTGAGCGGTATATGATTTTCTGCTACATGTATCGCCCTCGCGGACTTCGAGATAAAGGTTTAAAGGCATCGAATCTGTGTATCCCCGAATCTCAGGGGTTTATCTAATCTTCTACGCACTCCCTTTCGTATGGCGTTCGCAAGATGGATTCAGGACCGACACACTGATCTTTGGTGTATTGAGAAAGAACGGCTCGACTGATGCACGGGGCTACGTAGAGCCTAGATCCCAGGTATCTCCGACGTCGCCTCCAGGAATTTCCGTTTCAGGAGACTACGTGAACATGTACCCAAGCGATCGCTCGGAGCCGGTGCAGATCGCTATCGTCCTGGATGTCCGCTGGAAGTCGAATGGTAAGTGGAGCCTGATCGCCCTTGAGCAAACCTCTCTGCCTGACGTATGCCAGGATTGCGTCCACCTCTGCTTTGGTGCTTGGCGCCTGGCTCCTATTGCACGACACCATCTCTAGCTGCGGGAAAACCCTCTCCTCTGTATCCAAAAGCTCTCGGAAAATCTCGAGGTTGGGGACATGCAAGCTGCGAAGTGCAGGGAGGCAAGGTGCGATCGCCGCCGCAACCGCTCGCACGTCGGCGCGAAAGGGATTACCCACCAATGAGAGTGCATGGAGGTTTCTCCCACTCTGTTCAAGAAAGTGGCTCACGGCCACGGGCATGTGCGTTGAAGGGGAATCGTCATAGGATATGCAGGCGACCTCGAGGTTTGGAAAAGTGAGCATTGAGAGAAAGGCATTGGTCGTTACGCCTGTGACGTTGACACGGCGCATCCCAGGATGAAGTGCCATGGGCATGGGCTCGCTGCGGTCGACTGGGGATGTGTGTATCAATGTCAATTCTTGAAGGCGAGGGAGGCTGTGGGGATCGAGGAGGAGCTTCATCATGTCGAAACTGACGGTACACGTTGTGAGGCAGAGCGTTGAAAGCGTCGCGTGACATGGCGTAGCTGCTACACCAGGAGTGTTCAATGCAATTCGTTCCATATGGAGGCTTTTCAATGCTGAAAGGTTGCTTCTTTGAGGGTTCGCGAGTCGAACAAAGAAGCTGGTGGGAAAAATCGAGTCGTTCATTCCTTGGTGGTGATGGCGTAGCTCGAGGTGCTGAACTTGGCTCCACGCGTTGGTTGCGCACTCGACGTCCTGTAAGAAAAAGTGGAGAGTCATTGGGGAGAGATGCAGGGATATATGAGCCCAGCGACGGCCGGGGTCAAGGATGAGGGTTTGGACTTGGACCGGTAGCAGAGATGAATCGTAGCTGGCGTGGAGCTTCAGAGGAAGAAGTCCCGCGCGGTCGAACCACGATCTCAGCTTTCGACCAATATCTTCAGATTCATTCGCAATGGCTAAGCCTCGCCACAAGTCATGCGATGCGAAGGAGATGGTCCGCCATCGCTGGCAAACGGATCGCAAGACAGCAAACGTTTCACGATCGGCAGCATCCAGTATGGTTGGGTCCTTAAAGCATGACTGAATAATCTGAATGATGATTTCGTTGGGAAGACGGCGAGCAGGGGAGAGAAGCTCTCGGTATGCGACCTGGTCCCTTTGTAGAACCTCCATCTGCTGCCTCAGCAACTCCATTTTTTGATTGATCCCTTCCAGGGTTTGACGACAGAAACTAGCCAGGCCTTCGGGAAGCTCTTCATTACATTTGGTGTATGGCAGGAGCCTAGCGTCGCTCTCTGGAAATAACGTGGTGGGCATCTCATTGGGGTTTGCTGACGAGGATGGTTCCTGTATAGCATCGCAGACATTCATTTTGGTCAGATCGTTTTGTCCTGGTAATCGTGACTTACGGTAGGAATACCAAGTCTCAAAACAGTCGACCGGCCAATTCACAGCGGTGGTGGAGAAAGGTCAAAGGTGGTTTTAGAAACCGAACAAAACCCGATTCGGGGTGGACCAAACTGGAGTGCGTCCTCCCACCAATTAAATGTATAGCAAGGTGTTGAAAGCTGCACAGCGTAAAGACATGGAGATTAAGCATGTGTTTGAGGACGAGTAAGGGCAAGGGGCAGAGGGGCCGGCAATTCTGTAACTAGTTATAGTGTATTGGCGTGATCATCACTCAAATCGGATATGGTGTAACGGCTAACATTGCCGCCTCTCACTGTGGTAGTGCGCGGCAGCTCGGGGTTCGATTCCCCGTATCCGAACTTTTTACCTCTTCACGATAAAAGCAGTCGCACTGTGCAAGTATCTCCCTAAGGCGAAAATTTATGAAGGACGATGTACTTTGAAGCTCCGAAAAGACCTGTTGCGGTCGACCGGTTGACCAAGTCACTGGCGGCGACCTGAGTGTGGCTCAACGATGTCAGTAACGCAGAGTTTGAGCCATGGAACTTGCTCGCAGCGTCTGAGAGATTCCCTTCCCCATTCCTCTGAAGGAGTCAAGGTTTGCCTGGCAATATTCACCACTGGCATTCGCCTTCACCTCTACAGCGTGCCACCCACGCGAGAAAACGAAACGTTGGGTAAATAGTAATAGTAAAATCTTGAAGCTTGTTTCCGCTTGTTGCGCAGAGCTTTCGGGATGAAGTGAGGTATAAGTGACACCGCAAGTCGCGAGTGAACCAAAATCCTAGACAATGTCCAATATCAGACGCAGGCTTGTCGACTCCTAGTTTTAGCCTTCATTTTAATTGTATTGATATTCAACAGCACTCCCTCAGTCATTGCCAATTGGTGAAAGCAAGTGCAAGTCGACTATCACAGAACAGCGAGGTGTCATGAAGTGTTCCAAGTAGGTTGGGCTCCCGAGAACAGAACACGCGATTTGGGCAATGAGTTCCTTGGGCAGGCGGCGTGGTAGGAATAAAAGAGCAGATGGGTGTTCAGCTTCATCTCCTGCAAGTGTTTTAACCTCTCCATGACATCTGGTGCCCTGCAGTGCTTTGGGTATGTGACTGGCCTTGCGTTCGAGATCATTAAGATGTTACGGCTATCGATAATTGGACTTCTATTACGACGAGACTTGACCAGAATGCGATTAAAAAGATACACCAAGACAATAAGTTCCGATACGGGGAATCGAACCCCGAGCTACCGCGCTCACAAGCGGTGAAAGGCGGTAATGTTAGCCGTTACACCATATCGGAGACGTTGAGTTGAGCTGCAGTAATAATTATATTTACACTCTGCTCTCCCGACCTACTTTCCGCTCTGAGTAGACCAATAAGCGCCCACCGTGGGAACTGATGTGCTTGGATTGTTGCCACCAGCTCGATCTTGACAAGTGCCGTCCACTACAAGCAAAGCGACGCATCATCATCATGCTCACAAAGTTACTGGAACTTATACCATTCACTTTGACCAATGAAGAAGCCCCCGAAGATCTAATTCCTCTCTGTCAACAAGGCCTCAAGGAGGCAGAGACCGTACTGGAGGAAACAAGGAACCAGGAGCCAGAGCCAGAGGTCAAAGGAGAAATGGAAAGGGGAGGAATAGAAGGGCTCCAAAACCTGAAGACCACATACAGCGCCCTTCTCTCACCTCTTCGACGCTTTCCAAATGAGCTAATCGCAAAGCTGATTTGGCATTGCCTAGGAGAGCATGATACCTTGCTTGATGCCAGCGATCGCGGAGCATTTCGCGCCTTGCGGTGCGTCTGTCGAAGGTGGAGAAACATTGCATTTTCTACACCCGAGTTTTGGCGGGGCGTCTCGGTGGACTGGTCCCAGACCTTCACGTCGGGGCTCGCGCAGACGCTGGGCCAGTGGTTCGACCGTGGTGGACCCCATGCTCCGCTAAAGCTCGCTCTTTGCGATATCATAAACATAACCACAGAAGATCTCGAAGCCCTGCTTCTCGACTCACACCGCCGCTGGGTTGAACTCTCTCTCGACCTTGAGCCGTCGGCGTTCCGCACTCTTCTCAATGGAATCCAAGATGATGAAGCTATTTGGAGCCACGTTCAACAACTGGGGCTTGGCCCCACCAGGGGTAGCATCTTAAGACCTTCGGGGCTCGTTTGCGCACTCATGGATCCACAAAACCCCCGGCTTCCCGTCCTCCATCGTCTGCGTCTCCGAGAGATGATCCCGGGCAACCATATGCCTCACACTTTGTACCACGCAAACCTTTCAGTCCTCCACCTTTCGGACTGCATTTTGGGGGCTGAAATGACCCAGTCGCTCTTCAGCCCCGCTTGCTTTCCTCGCCTTCAAGAGGTAATCATAGTAAATACACCCCAAGAGTCTTCGGTCCCGGTGCCACAGCCAGTCACAAGAACGGTGCATCCTGGTGTCCGACGGGCCATTATCATGGGGACGTCCGTCTTTCTTATGCCCTATCTCTCTTTCCCAGATCTCCAATACCTCCACACTAACGACATTGACAACGAATTATTGTCCACTGAGCTCAGCGGATTTCTTCAACAGTCAGGTGCCAATCTTCACAGCTTGTGCTCCGGCTCGACACCGAGGGCCCTTGCGGCGCACATAAACTACCTGCCATGCGTCAAGCGTCTATATGTTGAGGACTTGGGTGTATTCGAACACCTCTCATACGCCAAAGGAGGACCATTGGCCTCCTTGCAGATACTCATATGGAACAATCAAAACCCACGAACTACCCAGGCTACCAGCGATGCTTTCCTTCGCTTTGTGAGCCAGCGAGAGGTGGATGAACAGACACCACTTGTGTTGAAGGTTCTCCACTATCAGCAGGTTGAAAAGATCAGTACACTCCGGCACCTTCAAGAATGCGACCGCCTAAAGATTGAGCTCGTCTCCCGAGGAGATTTTTCTTGGATGTATCCAGATGAAAACTGTATGTAGCCTATGGTGTCTGCAAATCAAGGGCTAGCCTTTCGCATGTCCTACTCTGCACTGGCTCTCGGTTTTATAATTGAGTTGCCTAGCGATGCGATCAGAGTGTCTCCAGAAATCCGTGTAGTCCATCTTTCTCCTGCCTGTACAATACGCCGGCTATTTCGATACGTTCACTGTGACGAATGAAGACGAGCCGGTCTGTTTGCTAGTGTTTGACTGAAGCGTCTTGTCGTTTAGCGTTTGGCATCTGAAAGGGTTGTCATCGAACTGCGATTATCCCCAGCCTCTGGCGAAGTAACGCCATGGAACCGCCAGTTATAAATCCCGCCCTCATACCGTATACGCTCACAAACACCGAGATACCTCAAGACCTGGCCGCTATATGTAGGCAGAACCTGGGAGAAGTTGACTGCACCCTGGACGGTGTCAACCGGAGGATTGACGCCTTGAAGAGGGAGTTAGAAGAGCTGAATGGAAGGCAAATCAAGCTTAAAGGGATAAAGAATACTTGTCATGGACTTCTCTCGCCTCTCCGGCGCTTCCCTAACGAACTGGTCGCTCAGATCATTCGATCCTGCCTACCAGAGTTGATGCTCCTCGATGCTACCGATCGCAAGGCGTTCACCATCTTGCGATGCGTGTGCAAGCAATGGAGGGTCGTCGCGTTTACATCCCCCGAGCTGTGGCGAGGGCTTTCCGCCGAATGGGCCGATGTGAAGTCAACCCCAGAGATAGCCCAAAGGTTAACTTCGTGGTTTAATCGCGCAGGTGAACATTTACCCCTGAAGCTCGACCTCCACTATGGATCCCTATCCGACGAGCAGGCGGTGAATGCTCTCATCTCGCTTCTCATGGAACCATCTCGTTCCTGGGTACATCTTTCTCTAAAAGCTGGTGGTGCCGCACTCCAACGCCTTGCCTCCAAGCTCAAAGCTGGCCTCAATTGTTGGAATCGGCTTCAATACCTGAAGCTTGCCAGTGGACACATTTGGGAGCGAGGACATTCGGGCTCTGACCTCCTCTTCAGTTTCATAAATGGCAGGACCACACTTTCAAATCTCCCTGCCCTGAAAACTCTTCATCTGGCAGACATGAGCTTGCCAACCATGAACGGTCCCAGTCCCCCCGCTCATCCAACACTCACCACGCTTCGCTTGGACTCGTGCGGCATAGCCGCTGACGTGATGAAGACGTTGTTCAACCCCCAGAACTTTCCGTGCCTTCACAATGTGGAATTGACCTACGTTTGGCACATGAGCGACGAGGAACCAGTGGAGTTTGCCACCACTGTCCATCCTGGCATTAAAAGTATCTACGCACAGGGAGAGAATCTCTTCGACATCCTCCCCATCCTCTCGCTTCCCAACCTGGAGTTTGCGACGGTCAGATCACACAGTCGCTTTCAAGACGATCTTCTACAAGCCTTTTTTGAAATTTCTGGATCCCACGTTCGTACACTGGTGTTTGACGAAAACTCCGTAACTATCGCCAAGCTGTCTAGGCACCTTTCATCGCTCCGACACCTACTAGCGCCTGGCCTGGAGATCTTTGAAGATCTCATGTCGGTGTTCAGGAGCAGTGGTACCACAAGCTTACCATTCACCCTCTTGCAGACGGTCGTTTGTACTGCTCACCTAGTGCTAGTGACTGGTGGTGTTGTTGACGCAATCTTGGCATATACTGAGCGGAGGTGGGCAACCATGGAAAACCCAACACCGCTTACAATCAAGGTTCTCGAATTCATCCAGGCGGATAGCGATGAACTGCTTCAGCGTATCAGAGGATGCTCATGGTTGAGAATAGAGAAGGTATCTTTGTGGATGCTCCGATCGCTTCGGGTGGGTGAGCACATGTCAGTTGAAGATGTTGCTTGGATGTTCCCAGAAGGATTTTAGGTTACGTCGTCTATAGGGGATCGAACTGGCTGCATACCGTACGAGACTGACTTCCGTTTCACTTCTGCGCATGTGATTGGGATTTCGAATATAGCATCCAGGGTTCATGCCACAAATGCCTTGCGATTCTACGCCTCATCGTAGTGTGATGCTGCCAATTCTCACTTCTATCATGCCCTTATCCCTGGTTCCAATCATCATTCAACTTCCCCAGTCTCCCCCAAGTCCTTCTCCTTCTCCCTACCCAACCTCCCCTTCCCTCTCGCAACATCCACACTCTTCCACTCCTTCGCAGCCCTCTCCACCAGCTCGCTCGGTTCCGCATACGTCTCCAAGAACCTCTGAACTTCCTTCTCAAAGTCCCCAGGGGCGTTCACCAAGGTCGTCCGTATACCACGCAAGAATGCTTCAACGACTGCGAGGTTATGCGAGACCAACAACGCGTGCGCTGACATTTCGTGTGTATGCAACAGGTGGTGGATGTAGGCTCTGGTATGCGGTGGGTTGTACGTGGGAGGCTTCGCAGTTTTGGTGGGATCGCTAGTAGGGGTACCTCCACTTGCAGTCGTAGAGGCCACCGTTGCCTCTCCAGAAATCCAAGCATCCGAATCGACACCATGGCGAATGAGCTCAGCGTCCCCGTCATACGACCTCGGTGAACAGCTCATGCACGGGCAGACGTTCTTTCCTTCCACAGGTGACAATGAGGACGTGAGGGCATCAGCAACGGGCGTAAAGTCGTGCGTGTAGAGGATGGAGTAGAGGTTGTGGCCTACATCCTTGCCTTTCCCTGGCTCGCTGTCCCTTTGGATCTGCTCAGGGACAGGGAAGGCAAAGTCCAGTCCGACACCGATGCTACCCAAACGAACCGCCCATTCAGCATCCACCACGTCGACGCCAACCTCCTTTACGAGACGGAGGATCTCGTGAGGCGAGGTGATCCCGAACGCTATACGTGGTTTTGATGATGGAAGAGGGGAGAGCGAGGCATGTAGCAAAGGCGTATACGGAAGCTGACCATCAGGGGACGTGGATGCTGCTGACGGTGCAGAAACTATGCTTGATGAGGTCGACGCAGCATGAGAAGGCATGTTTGGCTGCCCGCCCTCTCCTCTGCCGACATCCAAAACCCTATTGCTCTCTCCGTTCTCGAAAACGTCCCTCCGAACGCTGGCGAGTTCGACAAAGTACCCACTGACACCCTCGTCAACGCATTTGTAAGGCTCGATGGTGGCAAGATCGGGACCATATAGAGGTTCGAGAAGGGAGGAAGCATAGTGCTCTCGTGCAGGAAGTGATGTTGAACCTAGGAGAGGAGCGATGATTGGGGGATGGCGAGGATGGGACTCTGCCTTGGTTGCTGGAGTTGAGATTGCTGATGGTTCGGCGGGTGGGGGTACAGTATCGGTGCTGTTCTTCAGAACGACTTTA